GAATTTGAAGATTTTGATGAAAATTGCCAAGGGAAGAGATTAAAAAATATTCGAAAACTTCATTTAATAGAATATTGGATAAACAGTCTAATAACTGTTTCACAAGCTGCTTCTAATATTCATGGCTCAGCAAAGTTGCCATTCATGGTTACAGATGGTAGAATACTATTTATAACTCATTTTTCCATAACATATCAAAGGTCTCCTACACAAATTAATGAAGCTCTTGACATGTTATTAAATCTCATAAAAAGAAATAATTTGGCTCTTCCGTTGGAACTAGCCATGACCGCGGATGATGTAGAATAATTTCGAAATGAGCAATACAGTCAAGATCCTGATTTCCCTCCATCATAAACTAATGAAGAATATCACAATCTCGTAAACATGATGAAAATATAGTGGACCCCACTATTACATGCAATTATCTCATGATCGACTCTAACCTTATCCAGGACACGTGGAGCAACTTGCATTATTAGGCGAAAAGTGGTCCGACAAATCATTTCAACTGATGCTACATGATAAATAAGATCAACCAAATCTTATATGTTTCAGTCTATCTCTTTGAACCACGGAAAAGATAAACAATGTATATAATTGGTAGTTTGTCAGAAGATGGCAAATAATTTTCATTTATGTTTCTAAAGACTTTTTTTGTCTTTGTATTTATTAATAAAAAAATCTAAAAATTCCCTAGATATTTATTTGTGATTATGTATTAATTTTAACCAGTAAATAACAATCACAATCAAACAATCAAAGACCAATCGACACAATGATTTAACGTGAAAAAACCACCATTGAAGCACCTTCAATCACGATAAAAAAAAATACGGGCCAAAGCCACAAAACAATCCACTAAGAATACAAAAAGGAATTACACAAGTGTACTCTCAATTACCTAGCGAATCCACACCCAAATTGAACTGATCCCAATGTGCCTCTTCTACCATTGTAACGCCCTCAAAATAATAACATTAAACCACCAATATAGACATGCATTGATATATAAAAACTCCACATTCTTCTATTCATCAGAATTCCATTACAAAAAGTATTACATGTTAACGACAAAAGCAAATGCCCTAAGGGCTTACAGCTTTCCAAGTTAACACTTGGTTACAACAAAAGGGTACTAACTCATTTACACATTAAGCCCTTGGCTTGAATTTACATGTAATACATCAAAAAGAAATAAGACAACAAAAGTGTGTCCGCCTCTAGCCTCCCAAGCTATGTCCTTGGAGGTGGCATGCTACCTGTACCTGAAAATGATATTCCCATATAGGGTGAGCCACAACCCAGTAGAGATATGCTAAACACAGTATGAGCAATGACTAAGACATTAGCAATTGATAAGTGTTCAATTTCCATAAACCAATTCATAATCCATTTCCATTTCTTATCAATTTCACAATTTCCATCAATGGCTCAGAACCTGGCCAACCACTTATATGAGACCAAGACTCATATTAAACGTTTTCCATTTTTACAATAGATAAACACACAGGTTATATCAATAACTCAACAGATAAGCATACAAGCTATATCCACATTTCAACAGATATGCATATTAGCTATATCAACACTTCCCATGACAAGCATATGAGTTGTATCAACACTTTCAATGACAAGCATATGAGCTGTATCAACGCATTATCTGACAAGCATATGAGCTGTATCAGTGGAGTCCATCCCCTATCTCCTCCCACACAACACCCGGTTTAGAGGTCCATCCCCTATCTTCTCCTAAACCGTGGAGTACATCCCCTATCTCCTACCACACACACAATGCATATATACACAAAGGTCATATACACAATCAATCAATACATAACATTAATGTATTCTATCAACCGTCATATTCTATGACATATCCAATTGATTAGTTTTAGTTTGCCTAATCATCATGCATTGCCTACAACAATCAAAACTACCCTCCACCGGTAACCCAAACAGTTATTTCTAAACAGATAATAAAAGCTCCAACAGATAAAATATCAATGTTTTCAAAAGTGAGCGATTAACAAATCCAACTCCACTATTCTACCATATAATGAGTCAACTTCATTATTTCCAAATTCAATTCCAAATATCAACATTTTTCCCAAATAAATTATATCAATTAATTTACACAAAGAATTAGGGCTTTCTCCCCCATTTTTTTTTTATATTGACCCAATGGTCCATGTATCAACAATCAACATCAATACCGCTATTTTGAAACTCAAAATACTCATTTTAGAATCAAAATAATAAAACCCTCTTTGACATTTTGAAACCCTAAGTCCCAAAATTTCCCAACTTCAACACTTAATCAAAATCACCAAAAATCTATGTTAAAGACCATAAAAGTGAGTAGGAATCCCTACCTCAATTTCGGAGCCCAAGAGGAGAAGATGTAGAAAACTAAAATGCTTCAAACTCCAAGATTCACGGATCAAAACAAAGCCCTCAACGATCAACACAACTTTTACAAAAGGCAAAGGGAAGGAAATCACTCTAACTAGATCAAACCCTAGAGAGAAGGGAATTTCTAGAGAGAGAGACTCTCAAAATATCTTTTTAGAAAGTAGGAGAGAGAGAGAGGAAGTGTAGAAAGTGATTCAAAAATGCCTAACTGCCCTCTGTTATACGACATTCCCGCTCGAGCGGAAAACACAACGCTCGAGCGTCAAGAACAAAAATCTGGACACGCTCGAGCGCAATAAGGCCCGCTTGAGCGCCAAGACACAAGAGTAAAGCACATCCGCTCGAGCGCAAAAACCAGTCCGCTCGAGCGTAGATTTCTCCCTCCCAGAACTTATACCTAGGAAGTACTACCCGCTTGAGCGCCACCGCTCGAGTGTAAACAAACCCGCTCAAGCGCAAAAATCACATCTACAGAAGTTTTGCAAAAACCCGAAATACTAGAGGTGTGCAATACCCGCTCGAGCGCAAGAAGACCCGCTCGAGCGGATCGCCTAAAAACTGTACAACAAGGAATTGAAACCAAGGCCTAACCAACCTGTAACAACCCTGTTCAAAACATCCTAAAACTCAATCAAGTGGAATTAAAGGACGACAACAAGATAGATACCACTACCAACTTCACGGAACCGAGTCCGGAATACAACAGAACAGTAAAGGGACAACCGGGATCGCTATAACCATCATCTTCACCTAAGAATTGTCTTGTCCAACATTGAATCTATAACGCCGATGTCGAATCCACGACGATGAGCCACTTCGGAATCCACCAAAGCTTTAGACCCAAATTTCAAGGAATCCACCGAAAAACAACTCTCTCTTTTGTGAATAAAACAAAATAAACAAACCCTTTGATATAATCCACTCAATTCATGATATAAACTTTTACAGATATCAAAGGAAACAAGCCAAGAAACTCTAGATGAAAACCCTAATACTCAAGAAGAAGATCTAGAAGCCGTACTCTAGAAACTGAATTAATCACAGATTTATAACAAACAGAATCACAACCTTCACTCAAGCACAGGAATGGACGCTTGAGCGATCTGACTAAAACACGTGTTTTAGAACAAGGATCTACGTTCGAGTGTAGGAAAGGCCGATCGAGTATAAAAATACAACTCCCAGTACTTTTACAGGCAAGTAAAACTTTTGAAAGGATTACATTTTCGTTCGAATGCATAATCAACTGTTCGAGCGGTCAAACAACTTCGACTACAATTTTGCTTCAGCGAAATAGCAAACATGATAGGATTAAGATCACAAACTCCTCTGCATAGGCAAAATTCGGGTTGAATTTGCATCTAAATACTCATAGCCTCACTGAAATAAAAGATCGAATAAAATTACAACTGAAAGGAGTTTTGTCAAAGAGGATTGGCAATTACAAAAACCTAACAATTAGTTTGTATACTTTTTTGTTTATAGACTTAGAAGATTGGGGAAAGCCTACAGTTAGACTTAAAGACTTTTTGTTTTTAGCCTTTTGTTTGTTTCTATAAGATTTATTCTATAAATTGGCATTCAAGCCAACAAATGAAGTAATGTAAATTCCTACCATCTCTTCGTTGCCTAACTTCTCCTAACTCCATAAAATAGTAGAATCAAAAAAAGGTGAACGTGAACACACTCCTTTTTCGACCCTGCGGGTGAACTCTCTTTTCTAATTGCTGGTTTAGGAGTGAAAATTCATCTTCGTTCTTCAGGCGCCTACTCCTTGTTTCACTTGAGGGGATGCGTCCTTGGTTTCGTAGATTATTAGTACTGCTATTCCAACACGGGCTTGATTCAGGAGATGATTAGTCGTCTTCTTTTTGGCTTTCTTCTCGTGGAGATACGATTAAGGAAAAAGAATGAAGTCAAGTAAAGAGCATGTCAGGCAAGTCAAAGGCGATCCCCCAATCTGGAGAGAAGCCAGACGAACCTATGCGAGGCCGATAAGTGATATGAACAGAGATTGGCCGTCTAAACTAAGAAAATCAGTGAACCTGAGGACAACCCAAGGGTTTGAGTCTAATAGTGAAGTGAAAACTTGCTCAAAGTAAGAGATTTAGAGTTGAACTTAGTTCACATCACATCTTTTAAGTTTGATTCGAGCACGACTCAAACTCAAATTTCACTAGGACAGTTAAACCAATCAAATTACTCGAATTGGATTTATATTCAACTTAATTTAAAATCATCTTTTTATACAAACAAGCAAAATTGGAGAACATTTTAAAATTTGTTAAATTATTAAACTAAGCTTAAACAAATTACTAGTCGACTTTATAAATTTATATGTACTATAAAAATTTACTTAAACTTAATTCATATCCGGCTCATCATATAAATAAGACAAACTAAACTAAATTTTAAAACTCATTAAATTTTAAATTAAATTTAAACAATTTAAGACTCCACACTAAAACTTAACTACTCGTCAACGAGCTCTGCTGGCTGGTATACAAGCAACGTGACTGAAATTAGACTGGTAGTTGATAGGAGTCTCTCTGGTAAAGCTTTGTTTCAAAGTCAATTCATATAATTTTCCCGGAAAATTAAGAAGATAATCTCGGCATTGCATATTCCATAATAGACCAATAATCATCTTAAAAAAAACAAAAACAAAGCAGAGAAGAGAAGAGAGAGAATCAATTGCCAATCTCTGAAAGCTTCAAAACAATTCCATGGCGTCTCGTAGGCGTGTGCTACTCAAGGTCATCATTCTTGGCGACAGCGGGTCTCTTTCTCTCTCTCTATACATATATATACATATACATTTGTGAATTTGAGGAATTGAAGTGTTTGTGATTCTTAATTGTGATTGACAGGGTAGGGAAGACGTCTCTGATGAATCAGTATCCTTATCAAGCTCCAGATTACGTAGTGTTACATATAAATATTCTGTGTGTGTGTGTGTGTTTTTGTATAGGTTATTAGGTTTTCAGGATATCTTTAATCTTGACTCAAATTTATATCAAATTTAAATTTGGATAAAAATCACTCAAAACACCATTCATCAATTGAGTTCTACTCAATTTTTTATTCAAATCAAAGTACTCAAATATTTATTCAAAATTTTCAAGGATGGTCACATTATCTCTCAATTCGCACCATCATCATTTTGCTGTTTGGATATACACTTCTGAATAAAAATCAATAGTTCAGATATCAACTACTTAACAAATACATAATTGATTTTTATTCGGAAATTAATATTTGGGATTGAGGCAAAGTGTGGTGTGTAAATGGAATTATTACCCAATTTTCAAAGCTATTTTGTGACTCAATTTTGGGTAAGGGCTTGGACATGGCTTGAGCAGTTTAGGATGTCGCATTGTGGTTGGCCTTAAATGCCGGAATTTAGATATGTGAATAGGAGGTTCAGTAATCAGTACAAAGCTACAATTGGGGCTGATTTCTTGACCAAAGAAGTCAAGTTTGAGGATAGGCTTTTCACATTGCAGGTGATAACTACTCTTCCATATGATTGTAGATTTATGTTTTTTACTCTCAGGGGTTTCTGATGGGACTTAAGGCATGGTTTGGTTGGTTGGTTGTACTCTCAGGGGTTTCTTTTTGCCTCGATGTATTTTGTTAATTTGCTTGGTTGCTTCTGATTTGGAATAGTATCATCCATGAAAATGAGTAACGTGAATGTACATATGACTAAAACCAAACGGGTTAGTTTAGTTGGCCACTCTTGTACACTCTCAACTGAGAGGTCACACAGTCAATCTGGTACAAATGGATTATTTCTTTACTATTAGGGGTTCATTTTCTTATATTTATTTCTTCCCCCATTGTGGGGCTCATTCTTGTTTTGGCGTTGGGCTTGCGAATATGTGTCATTCGACTTTCTTATATAGATGATTGTTCCATTTTTTGTTATTATCTTAATGTTTGTAAATAATTCCATATTGATTAACCAAAAAAAAAAAGAATGTACATTTGACTAAGAAACAAAAATACTAAGAAAGAAACTAGCTATTCAAAAACAATTTATTTTAAAATTTGGGTACAGTATTTCAAATGGATTAGGAGTTCAGGCTTGAAGACTGAACCCTTTGGTCTATGTTATGAATTTACTAACAACAAATTGAAGTTTATACCAATAACATCTTATTTGTGATAATGATGATAGCATGATACTTCTTCACTCTTTAGACTTTAATAACTCGCTCTCTACTTGCTCACCCCGATTGACTTCAAAGAACATTATTTCAAGTTAGAAGTAATCTTTTTTACAAACCTCTCCCTGTCAGTCGAGTCCAGCTAAAGCTCCCTCTCGCTATCGCTCGAGCCCAACTGTCGTTGCCCAAGGGTTATTCTATCCAAATCCTGAACCAATTTCATAGCCGATTTCACTTCTTCCTCCTCTTAATCAATCCACAACTATTAAGTTTAAAGGCCTTATCTTTCCAGATTCTTGTGCCATTTCAATCAACTTTAAAGAGTTCGCATCACTTGGTAACATTTGTTACCCATGTTTTTGGAGACAACTTAGGAACTATCCTTAAAAGCCTCTAGCCTTCAGTTGATCCATTAAAATGTATATGATGTTTTGTTTATTGCATCAAAAAGCTTAAAGATGCTGTGGAAGAAGTTTATTTCTGGTTTTCTTGTTATTGATTTTAAGACGACAATTTAATTCTTAAAGAAACTGAGTTTCATTCCTTCAGTTTAGAGGAGATAATAAGACATTGACATCGTTAGCTATAGTATCCAACTATATGCATTTGAGGCTGAAACAAACTTCATTGTGATACTTTCAGATATGGGATACAGCTGGACAGGAAAGATTTCAGAGCCTTGGTGTCGCTTTTTACCGTGGAGCAGACTGTTGTGTTCTTGTTTATGATGTGAACGTCATGAAATCATTTGATAACCTCAACAACTGGAGGGAGGAGTTCCTGATTCAGGTGATAATTATCTTCTCTCTTCTTCTTTTTTTCGTGGGTGGAGGGGGAGGGGGCAGGGTCCGAACCCCTGACTTCAACTTTTCTTTCTTTCTTGTTTTTCTTTTATTTTTATTTTTTTGGGGGGGACTGAATCTTGTTCTGTATGGATTTATTTGTACAGGCCAGTCCACCTGACCCTGAAAACTTCCCATTTATTGTACTGGGGAACAAGATTGATGTTGATAGCGGAAATAGCCGAGTGGTAAGATGACTTTTTCATTTTTTTCATCAAGGATAGTAGTGTAGTGTGTGTATCTATATATGTATATATATATTGGAAGGCTACACATGCGCAATGCGTGTGCGAAAATGGCAGTTGTAACTGTCACCTGGGAAAAAAAACTCAAAAGGATGGTAGGGGGGAAGACGAAGAAATCAAATTTTGAAATAAAAAATATGGATAGTTGCATAGGGGTAATTTAAGTACGAAAAAATGCTTGATATAGCTTCAAAATATGTTCCGAGTTGCGTGCTTTATATGATAGAATAAAATACATACTCCAAAAGGAATGGAGTCTACTGAGGAAGTATAGCACTAAAGGTTGCGTTGTACTTGGGATCTGCTTATAAGCAACTTGAAGCTGCTAATTGTTGTTGGAAGTTGTAGGATGATTGGTTGTATTCTTGTTTCAGGAAGATTTCTATTACTGTACAGTTTTCCATAACTTTTTGCCCTATAATTTCTATGCTGAATAAGGGTGGTGCTATAAGAACAAGGATTTAATTAAGGTGGTGCCATTAGCACTCTCATTTTCAACCAAAAAGAAAACACTCTATTTTGTTGTTATAATGCAACTTTTGTACAAATGTAAAAAAGAAATGTTATTGACTTGCGATTTAATCTAAAATGGATCTACAATAATCTTAGATAGGAGTTAAGCCTTATACAATTGGCAAAAGTGCAGAGGTAAGGACATGATTAATGAAATTGTTTGGTAAGTAGGGTAAATTATTGTTTTGAAAGAATTTTTTATTTTTTATTTTTACGCCACTGTCACCTGCCGTTTGCCGGCGGCAGCAATTGGTGGTGGTGATGGTGATATGGACAAACAGGAAAATTAGGTGGATAGATAAGTGACATGTAGACAAATAGGGGGGTGACACATGGACATATAGGTGGACAAATAGATGACGTGAACAAATATATGGATAGTGAACAGATAGATAGATAAGTAGGGGTAATATGGTTTTTCAATTTTTTTTTTGGTCAAAATGCTAGAATAATATTATTGATAGCCAAGCAAATAATCAAGTACATGGTGAATCCTTCACCAAAACAGAAAACAGAAAACAGCCATGTTAGACGGTAATGTTCCCAAGTTTGCAAAATTTTCACAATGTTCATAATTTTTTGTTCGTCTGAGAATTGATTTGTAAAATCTATGCCAAACAGGCCTATATCTCCGGGAAATTTTCAACCAAACACAATCAGAAGCCTCAAAACATAATGCATGTCAATGGATATAGTTTCTCTTCAATTTGACATGACTATCTCTATCCCAAATTTTCTTTCCTTCCAAAGAAAAACTAGTCCTTTCAGGTAAAAACTATCCGATTCAAACAGAACGACTGACTATAATTTCAATTTAAACATCTAGGGCGTATAAATTAACAACTAAGCAATGTTTTCGATTTTTAAAAATGGGAACACGATAAAAAACAAATAATCATTGAATATAAGATAGAATAGTTGATTATATCAAGAGAGCTATAGATTCAACAGAAAAAGATCTGAAACTCAAAAATCTTGAAGTTTAGGATGACACCAGTGTGAGAAATTAGGGTTTTTTGTGGAGAATAATATTTGCCTGCTTTATATGATAGAATAGAACAGATACTCCAAAAGAAATGGAGTCTACTGAGGAAGTATAGGACTAAAGGTTGCGTTGTACTTGGGATCTGTTTATAAGCAACTGGAAGCTGTTAATTGTTGTTGGGAGTTGTAGGATGATTGGTTGTATTCTTCTTTTGGGAAGATTTGCCTATTACTGTACAGCTTTCCATAACTTTTTGCTCTATAATTTGTATGCTGAATAAGGGCATTCTATAGGTTTTGTGGGAAATTTTGTAGTGTTTGTTTTTCCTCTCAGTTGTAGAAGTATGTTAGAGGTTATTTGCTCCGAAATTTCAGGTGTCTGAGAAGAAGGCAAGGGCATGGTGTGCTTCCAAGGGAAATATTCCTTACTTTGAAACTTCTGCAAAAGAAGGTTTCAATGTAGAAGCTGCTTTCCAGTGCATAGCCAAAAATGCTCTAAACCATGAACCCGAGGAAGAAATGTGAGCATTCTTCTAAGTTTGCTTTCAATTATGAGTTCCTTTTTTTTTTTTTTTTTTATAAAGTACCTGCAATTAACTTTCATTTCAATTTCAATTCATTATATATGGTGCTAGTCTAGGGTTCTAATGAAATTTGAGTTCCTCTTGGTGAAAATACCATTCTAATCGAATCCAACAGCTTGTTAGTTCATGGATATGTTATATATTGGGTTTTTCAGGTTATCTGCTGATTGCATATTATTGTTGCTAAATATGTGATTCTTTAGAACAGTGGAATTGTCTTGCTAAGCTCTATAAGCAGTTATAATGGTGTTATTTTGTAAATTACTATGATGGTCCACATTTGATACAAACAAATGTGTTTATGTAACCAAATAGTTGTGATATTTAGAAATTTGTGCCATTTTTCGACAGCAATTTTCTGTTTTTTGAAATGTAGAAAATAGAAAACAATGAAATTTTTTCAGAAAATTGAGTTGACTAGAACCAGTTTTTCAAGGAATACAAAACAAGTTGTTTCCGTTACTCCATTTTTCAAATTGTTTTCAGTTTTTATAAAGATATGTTGCAGAGAAATGATTTTTGAAAACTATTCCAAACAGGTCTAATTCTTTAGATTCTTGCCTCTTCTTCTTCTTCTTCTAATGAGATTCTTGCCTGTTTGACTCTGTTGTTCACTTGTTCTTATAAAGTTAAGCAAATTGTTGAGACATTCTCTCATTTATGAGATGCTAATTGTTTTGAATATTCCTTGTTTGTTGATGAAGATACCTTCCCGAAACTATTGATGTGGCGGGTGGACTACAGCAAAAATCTTCTGGTTGCGAATGTTAGAAGTTCTTTCTGCCGGTTACTTTGTATTTTAAAGGGATAGAAACCACCGTCATTTTCACTTTCACTCAGCTCATGGCAATAATCTGAGGAATTCTTAAAACAAAAGCTCGATGTAATTTTATGTGACTAAGCAAAAAGCATGTCGATTGTTATAGTGATTTTTGGTTTTTTTGTTCCCTCAATGTTCAATCCCTTTTTAAGTTTTTCATTTTCCCCAATTCTATTTGTTTTGTATTGAAATTTCTGGGTTTTGCAGCACTTCAATCTGATTGTTGTTTTGTGTATCAGATAATAAACTTTTTTTTCCCCCTTGCCCATACTTTGTTTTACCAAAGTTAGGGTATCAAAGAGAGTTTGTCCTGATGGGTTTGTTTTAGATCAGCCACAAATTATCAAACCATCATGAATTAAATGCCTCTATTTGAGAATAGGCTATTTTAATTGATTTTTTTAACATTTTTATTATTTTAGCCTAACTAAAAAAGTTGTATTTGAAAAGGTAATTTTTTTTTTTTTTTGGTAATTGATTTGATGCGAGTGAAAAAAAAAGTAAAATGATTATGGTTTGAATGCGATATTTTATCTTATTAACTGTTTTAGTCCATTTTGTCTCTATTGACTATTTTGGCCCAATCCTAACTTTACTAACATATAAACACACAATACTACGAGTCGTCACATAAATTTCATTTCATGTAATATTTAATTCATATAAAGATCACAACAGTAGACATTAGAGAGCGTCTCTCTAGCAATTTTCAACTCTACTCCAACGACTTTTTAGCGAGCTCCAAAAACACTTACATAATATAGATATGAACTTTGTATGCCTAGTAAAAGGGATTTTGAAAGTTTCTCTTGATTTCTTACATACATTTTTTAATTTTTAATTATAATTTTCTCTTCTCTTAATCCACCTCCCTACTGTACTATTGTGCGTTTTCTTCTTTAACTCTCGCTGCCGACAGTGACCAAAGTTGGCAGCGGCAATGGTGGCAGCAGGTTTCAATTTTAGTTTGATACAAATTTTATTTTTCCAAACTACATCTGTGAAAAAAATTTCCTAAAACCGCAACCTTTTTTTTTAGCAACTTTAGTAATTTGTAACTTTTCGTAGGATTCTAATTTGACCCAACGGGCTATATTTTTTTAATATGATGCTTACCTTTTCTTTTAATATAACTTTGTTTTTAACTTTTTTGAGGTACTTTGGCTAGCCAGTTAGAGTGGAGATTAAAACCCAAAAAGATATCATACATAACTCTAATTTGAGAATTTTAAATAGAATTCTAGTGAGAGAGAGAGAGGAATGTGGGCCCCACCTTCACATGAATACTCTCCATATCATTAGAGTTACATTAGAACTCTCAAACATTATTGATCCCATAAGTAATCAACCTCTTCAAACAAATCCATGAAGATCATGCTCCAACCAAATAATTCAAAATTTTGCATAAAAAACACCAATCTCACAAGAATAAAGCTAAATAATAAATTAGAATGTTTCTCTAAACTGACTTTGGTTAAATATAATTGCCATCTCTAAAAAATAACACTCGTTTCCAATCCTCTAACCTCTTACCAATCTTTTCTAGAGTCCAAAAAGGCCCCGCTCTAGGATTTTCTCCCAATGGTAACTCCAAATACAAGGTAGGAAAATACTCCATGGAACACCCTAAATTTCTGTCAATCTTTGTAACCTTCGCGTTGAAAGTTGATACCCATAATGTTGCTTTTCTTTAAGACCCTAAAATTCGTTGCTTCCCATCTTAGCAATTACAAATTTGGTTGAAAATTTGAGATGTACAATGTAAAAGGCCTCTGGATATAAGCTTCAATTAAAAGTGAAAGTACATCTTACCAAAACCTAACCTTAGCATGAAGTTATCTCTTTTCACTTTCCAATGCCAAACCCGAGAATCTAAAGCTTTGTTTCTGCACATGGAAGAGAAACGCTTTCTCATCTAATCGATTCAGGAAGCCGGTGTTGCCTGAACTTGATCTCATTACTTTCTATTTCTGCCATTGAAAAGAATTTGAAACAACAAAAGATTATACAAATCTATATTATGAATACAAAATTCATTCCCGCGATGATGCTGGAGCCAAACTTTTGAGCCTGTGTAACAATGTACTTCTGCACTTTGTGATAGTACAAGAGATGAGGGGTCAGCTACCTCCAAATTCATCCACGGCTATAAATTGGCATAACGGCCAGAGCTGGATCCTTTCCTCCGCCGGCGTCGCTTCTGCCGAATTCGCCAAAAGCTCAATAAAAGCAAGAGACCTACAAACAGCAAATGGGTCAATTAAAATTGATGCAATTCAACATTTGACGAAGCTAAAAATGATGTTCAACTAACCAGAAACAGTGACAATAGCGGGTATAAGCCAATGACTAGCAACTTCCATGGGCATATCAGGCTGCAAGAATGGGAAAAGTTTCAGCCTTTGTTGCGTAGAGTAATGAGCAGAACTAATGTGAAAGAATCTATGTTGCATGGACTCCTCAAATACCCATCTCAAACACCAGTTTACATGTATATAATGTTGTATAATTGATAGAAAATGAATAAAATTCCTTTTTGATACTATATTTTACATATAACACTATTTCATCTCACATGATAGATTAACAACAGAAAAATATGACCCTTTTTTTGCCCAGTCCACACACCCTAAAATTTGATGGCTCCAACCTCTACATACATACCTAACATCCGTACCTAAGTCCATGCAATATAGGAAAGAATTGAGATAATAAATCACGTACAATGATAGAATCAATATCACAAAATTCAGTTTCTTACATCATCTCTGTAGAGTGAACCCAAGTACTTGTTTCCCAACGATTCGTCCTTATTCTTCTCAGTTGAGTTGGACCTCTTCGTATTAAAATTCTCTGTAGTAGAGTTCAAACCTCCACCAAAATCAATAACCTGATAGCCTGGCAATCTGCGGTTTCTTCCTCTGACCTGTAAACCGTAGCCCTTAGTGCCCCATACTTCAAACCTGGAGTCACTTCTGCAGATCAATTCCTTTCCGACAACCGCAGAATACGTAGAAAAATTTATATCAGTTCTGCGTGAAGGTAATTGATTGTCGTCTAGGTACAAGGGTTTATCGTGTCTAACTGAATCAGAGAAGAGCAGTGGATCTTTGATATTCTTGCTTGTGAAATCTAATATTTTCCTCAAAAGCCAATAACAATTGGTAACCATATGGCTGCTGTCCAGACAGTTGGAGTCTCCGTACACGGCAATTCGAACCCCACCCATTGCAAGAAGACCAAGTATAGGGGAGTCTTCCTGCAGTTATAGATATACACCAGTTAAGACTACAATATGCATAGTACCTCAAAAGTTTAAGAGAATTGTCATGTCATTGGAGTAATTCTAATTGTCCATAAGGAACTATATTTTTTGTTCAAATCACACGGTACATAACATTTAGAGCGACTCACGCACATGTTTTTTGACACCCAATTATAAACATGCTTATTTGAGAGGGAGAGAGTTGTCTACAAAGTTCCTCATTAATGGAGAGGGAGGAGGATGTCAAGGCCAGAGGCAAAATTCACTTCTTCAGAGCAACCTGCTCCTTGCATTCAGATTAAGTAATGGGACAATGGGCATGAGAACATGCGTTTTTAGTCTAAGGACAGCCAATTCATGTAAATAATACACTGCCAGTTAGGTCTCCCAGTGTATTCCTCTCAACCTGACACATTCATTGGCTGACACTAATAAATGGCCAAACATTTCATAATTTGAAAGCGATTTTTTTTTTTTTGGTGCTAATATTTCTTTTATGCTTGTGCAAATTATTTTCCAACTACTGGACATCATATAGGATAACTAAGCTAACAAAGAGCAGAAGTTTTTTTAGCTGTAGTTCAGTTGTAAGCTATACACGTTACCCTTGCCCTGCAGCCCGAAGAAGTATAAAAGTTTACTTTCACCATCAAATCTTGTTTTATATTTAGCCTTTATTTGGATTTAAAATGTATGGATTTGGTATCCACTCAATGATTATAACATTTAATTAAATGTAATATTCTAATTATGGATTTCAATAATGGATTTGAGAGTTATAGACTAACTAATTTGAACTAACTAAATGGACATGGTTATTTGAAATCTTTCCATGAATGATTCTATTTGTACAAAAATATTAGCAAAATGGATCTTTTTTTTTTTAATCAGTAACAAAATGAATCTTTCCCATCTCTATATATCCTTTACTTTAGAATTATCAATTTATATCCATTAATTAACCTTCTTACAATTTTATAAAGTTGAACGTCAAATCCCTGCATTTCAAATCCATGTATCCAAATGGAGCCCTAGTTTATAGTTGTTTTCATCATGTAGAAAGAAAAGAGAAGTGGACTTATTTGCTCACCTTAGTCATGCCAGAGCTTAGGATGTTTTGAGTGGCCCCACTCTCTGAACTATCTAGGAAAGGGAATCTATGCACATACCCACCACTCGGGAACTTCACAATATCAGTTCCAGATGCATATCGGCTCTGCTCACCGTTGATAGAAAAATCACCATTCAGAATCTTATCTCCGAATGCTATCCCAAATGGTGACAAAAGATCATTCAATGCAGGAATATTCGCACCTCCAGTGACCGGGGTCCACCAGCTCCTTGTGTTATCATCAAAGAACCTCATCTTCACCATCGTGTCCACATTATACCACTCAGCAAACACAACCAGACCTAGTCCAGTGTTAATGACATCATCCCTCAGCTTTTTAATCTCTTCAGCGAAGTATTCTTCTTCAAGATCCACTAGCAGAAGTGTCCCGTACTGGTGGGCATCAAAGCATGTAAAAGGTGAACCGAGAGCTTCAACATAGTATCCAGCATCTCTCAACATGTTGTACATAATGTGAAAATTTGTGTGCAGATGATCACCATGCCAGTCAAGAATGTCGTTCCGAACATCCAATGAGTCTCTTGGAATATAACCAGGTGGGTATTTAATACTGTGAAATTGATCCCACAGAACCCGATTTGATCTTGGAGGAGTTGGAACCACTTTTAATTTCAAGTGAAGCACACAGGTGCTATTTCGACGACCCTTCTCTCCTCGGGCTGGAGGGCTGTATACATTAAGAGTTATGTTGCCTTCAATCTGTCCGGAAAACTGAGCTCCTTCATCTTTAATTTGCATGTGCAGAGCTAGATAACCGGTCCATGGCCAAATGACTTCTGAATAGGTGAAGTGAACGCTCAGAAGATTTCCTTCCTCGTCTGAAGGATGCCATGTTGGTGGACTTTCAACATAGCCAATTACACCCATCCCGTTCAGAATGGTAGCATTGAAGATAACAGGCATGGCACCTGCATAGAGTGGTTGACGGCAAAAGGGCCAGGAATAAGGGCAATCGGTATAATCGAGAATACTTGGGAAGATGGTTGCTCGAGGTTTGTAGCTTTTCAGGATTTCATACGATTCTAACCTGACATAGAAGTCAAAATTAGAATCAGAAACACAATAACAAGAAAGAATGACAATCAGAAGAAGAAAACAACACCAAATGTGATGGTACATAAAAGTGAGGGTGGCTTATTGACTTTTTCACTTATATGGCTAGATAAGCTAAAAAGCTAAAAAGCTAAAAGCTTGTTTGTCATCAGCTAAAAAAGCCAAAAAGCCACTCAACTTCCCAAGTGCATCAGCATTTTTAGATTCTAAAAATAATAATAATAATAAAATAAAAATAAAAGCCAAAAAGCCAACCCCAAACAGGAGTTGGCTAAAAAGCTAGGTTATTGGCTAAAAATAAGCCAACAAAAAATCTAATGCTAAAAAAAGTTAGTTCGTTTGGAGCATAGAACTTTTTTGGCTTTTCTTAAGGCTTTTTTAAGTGGCTAAAGTTCACTTTTTCATGGGAAATCTTTAATCCCAAACGGCCTAAAGGGGTTATAAAGCCAGCTTATAAGATGTGCCAAACAAAGCCTAAGAGTCTGGTTACTTGGAGAACTCACAGATCAACTCTGCCAGCACCCTGCTCATACATATTGGGACCAGAAAGCTTCGCAGCCCCCTCAACCAGTGCTTGCTTCATGCTTGCTGGATTTAAAATGTCTTTTCGATTTCCTTCAGGAATGACACTAACAAGAAGGCATACCACACCAGCAACAACCGGACTTGCCACACTAGTACCAGATAAACTTTTACAACCTGTACTGATCTTAGATCCCATAATTTCCCGACCATACGCAACAACATCTGGCTTCACACGCCCATAGCTGCAGAGGCAGACTTTCATGGTTACAGATGGCAATTTTATCAGCTTAACTATATACAAGTTATAATCATTATCATTGTTCTTATAATTTTCTTGGGGGAGAGAGGGAGAGAGAGGAAAGGGGAAAAAAAGGAAGACAGGAAATAGAAGTAACTATGGACAGATGACAAATCAGACATCACAGGTAACATGATCCAAACAAATGGTGACATGAAGCATGATTTTTTTATGACAAAGCAAGGACTGAAGCCTACGCGAAAATCTTCCTAAATTAATGGGGGGATTGCATATCAGTGGGGAAGACAAAATATTTACAAAAAAGTGATAAACATTATAAATTTTAATAATTAAAATCATAGACTTTTCCACTTTTTTGTAAATATTTTTTTGTGTGTTCCCCGCTGATGTGTAATTCCCCCCGAATTAATTAACATCACCATTAAATCATGCTATCAAGGTAGGAAACAATTCACTGACAACATCTGTGACACTGCCCTATGGTTCTTCATTCACAGCATGGCATCACAAAATATATTTGACAACCCAAGCAAAAAAGAGCTTCAGAGTCCACATGCTAAGCCTTATGATGTGGAAACAGTAATAAATGTCTATGCAACCACAAGGAAGATGACAAAGCCATATTCTCCCCAAATGAGGACCAATAGTACATTGTCTTGGGTGTATGTTAATAAATTCATTTAATTCCGAAACACATCATTTAATTTGTCTGAGAAACAAAAGAAGTTAAAAAAAATAAAAAAAATAGAAAGTGTGCTGGACATGGGGTAGTTTAATTAGTTTAAATTCTGACATATTACAATAATATATTAGAAACTAAATTACATATGTCCTAGTAAACAATTAATATTTTTGTATTCCTTTGTTGGAACTTGGAAATGCTAGTGCTTAGGCATGTCAGCATTTGGTCCGATGTTTTCACCTTTAACAACCAAAAAGAACTAAAATCTGGATGAAATTAAACCAGACAAATAAAAAAACAAGAACTAGAACATGATGAAAAAATACAGATACGCTACCCATGAGGAATCTCCCAAGTACTCATGCCCCGCGAGGAGAATGAGGCTACGTGATCACTGTAATCAATGCCACCGACACCAATAACATCACTTTGATCTGCTGGATTGTTTAGAGTACCATAAAGTGGTCCATCATTTCCAATTGCCGAAACCATGATAATATTATTTGCTGTCAGTTCCCAGACCTGGTGAAAATTGCAGAACACAGATTATTACATATGTAAATGGAACTTCCTTGTTCCAACAACATAAATGTTTTAAAAAAAAGCTTTTACATACACAAGTAGATATCCAGTGACAAGCTGATCCACCCTGCAAACTAAATTTTTTTATAGTTTGGATGACTTTCACAAGGAGTACTTGGTATTTAATGGTCCACATACTTTTTAAATCCTAATCTACATGCCCTAGGATTATCCAGATACTCAACAGAAGCATGAGAACAACTCGTCAAATTTAAGAATCATCTAAAAGTTCAAATGGAACCAAGTGGATGCATACAATAGCCTGAAGCATCAGATGCCTGAGGCATATTAAAGATCTAAACAGTTCATCCAGATAACTGCGTTATTCTAAGGTCATAGACAACAACCAACTCTAGACTACTTCAAGCATAGCGTATATAAACTGTGTGGCAAACAGGCAAGCATTCAGTGAGCATAAAAACGATATTAAATTTTTAAAAAAAAAAAATTTGGAAATTAAATAAATCAATTATGTTATGTGATTTTTAAAATATAAACTGCAATCAGAAGGCCAAGGGGAATCTTACCTTCTCCACAAATGGGAGATCCAAGTAATCAGGTCCACCTATACTTAAATTCAGCACATCCATATTGGTTGCAATTGCATAATTGAAGGCATCAAGGAACCATGATGTGTATGATACCTGCAATAAGCTGAATACAAACTTCTCATAATCTTGCCCAGACTATATTGTCTGAATTGGAAAATAAGACATTTTGATAGTATGCCAGGCACACATACTTAATGGGCTGAACATTAATTTCTCATTATTTAGTTTCTATCCTTCACTCTTCACATGAATACTGTCTTGTTTACAATCTATACAAATGGAAATTCAGGTCCCTTTCATTTGTTCATTACAGAGAAAACTCATTACATACGGAATTTCAGGTCCTTTTCATTCGTTACAGAGCTACTAAACTCGAGATTACAAGAGAACACATTATTAGCCAAAGCTTACAGCTGCCCTTATAAAATAGCAGTTGAATTTAACCTAAAGATGGCCATAGGATAAAATTCATCAAAAAACTAAGAGCATCAATATCATAATTTTTTAATTAAAAAAATACAATATAAGATAATGGTGCTGAAACTAGATTCAAAACAAGCTATCACTTTCCTTATTAATGGAGCAATTAACAGAGTATAAAATTTGCAAAACAACACTTCCAAGTAATTAATAGATATGATTCTCCTCCGAAAGGAAGTTGCCAACATCAAATCTGAGATATGGACCAAAACATGAAGAAAAGGTAGCAAAAAAGTAAAATTCTACACCTATTGGTGGTATGAACATATTTCTTAAAAACACAACACACATTACCTGTGCATCTGTAAACACACGAAATGCATAAATCTCTGTGTCTGGTGCAAAACCGAGACACTCTGAATCTTCACCAGCAATAACTCCAGCGACAAAAGTTCCATGCCCAAGATTGTCATTTAGGGTATCCTCGTTGGTCCAATTTGTCCGCTCCTGAGACATGGCCCACATGATATCAACTCAGCCCAGAAAAGTTCAACTCATACTAAATTGAATACCAATTCTTAAACCGGACGCAGAAGAATTCCTACCCAGTGAAAATGTCAAATTACTTAATTTATTTAGGCAAGTGTTAAATTAGATACCCATAACTAGATATGGGGAGGAAAAAAAAAAAAAAAAACCACTAGTGCATAGTAATCAAATATCTTCCCCCTGAATGGATACCTTGATATTACGAAAATGCGGGTGATTTGATCGAATACCAGTGTCAAATATTGCCATTTTGACTTTTGCACCAGTATACCCTTTTGACCAAAGCACATCCGCACCAAACAAGGATGTAACTTGCGATTTCTGCAAGAAAACAATCAATTTCACACCACATATATCAGTGGACATATTTTTATTTTTTATTTTTAAAAAGGTGGTGTTTCCCTAAAATTAAAAAAGCATCAAAGCTACAAAATGTACCACCCATGAAAAACAATCACAAAAAATAAACCAAAATGTTGAAAAAGAACTTCCCATAATTTGTTCTTAATTCAACTATATGGCTAAGCTTAGGCATATATCTTATTTATTTTTCGGATGCAGAACATAAAGCATTATCATTTTCTGACCAGATTTCTCAGAAATCAAACAGAGTACACAGTAAGAAAAGCACAATCAGTAAGCGTTGACTTTTATACTTCAAATGTGACCCCAACAAACACAATAATCACACTAAACAAGTAATTATAAACATAAAATAGAATTTACCTGCATCAAGAGATGGCGATTCCAGCTAATACTCGCATTACCAGTCGCGGCGGAGGCGTAATTTTTTCCTTTTTCACCTTCGCTGAACGACATTGCCGTGAAAATCTTCCCGGGCCGCTTCTTCCCATTCACAAACGCCCCGACTTTCCCAACCCTCTTGCTTTTCTTCCCAAGCAAGCTCCTTTGATAGCTCAAATCAACCCAAACATCCTTCACAAGCTCCAATTTCCCAAAATCCTCAATCAGCACCGCTTGAGCCGATTCCTCAATCGCCACAACCCCGAAATCCGTGGGAAACTTGGCCGCCGGGTTCCGCCTCTCGACCCATTCCCAACCCCCCAATTTCACGCTCTCCTCGAGATACTTCCAATGATCTTCAGCTCTCTTGTAGTCGCGAAATCGAACGATATAGTTCTTGCGAGTAATTTGTTGGTATTGTTCTTGGTGATTGTGAGATTCGGATCTTTCTTGTGGTACGTTTAGGGTTAGGGTTTGGTTTTGGGAAGGTGAGAACTGGGTTCGGTAAAGGGAGGGTTTGAAATGGATAAGAGAGATCGAGATGATTAAGACGAGAAGAGAGAGATTGAATTTGGAGATTGTAGGAGCGATCATGGTAATCTTGAAGGTGTTGTTGTCGAGTTTGGATTGATATCATCGGAGGAGGGAGAGATAGATAGGGTTGTGTTGAATCTGATGGATACAGTTTTCTTAGTTTCTGGGTTTTTGGTTGACGAAGACATTCGTTACTTCTTGCACTACGGAAGCGAGAGGATGGAGCTCTGTGTGTGTGTGTGCGCGCGTGCGTGTGTGTTTGGTTACATGAATATTCCTTTCTTTAATCATACGTGGGATTGGTCCATGTTTGTGGAAATCACAATCCCGGGATAATAAATTCACAAACTTGTCCCAATTAGAATGGAGTTTAGGAGTTATTTAGAAATGAGCTAAATAAGTATATATTTTGATTTTTTATAAAAATATATGTAAAATGGTAGAGAGGTATTGTGATTTAAATAAAATGTGATGTGATCCAACTAAGATAAAAATATATTTTAAAATAACACGTGCCATACAACCCTTTAATAGAGTTGGGCATAGGGTTATCTGAACCCACGACACGTTCAACCAGAACCAATCCGCATACAAATGGGAGGTTTCCCAGACACAATACAAGCGGATGCAGTTTAGAATATGACATAATTGTGGATTGTGGGTTTAACCCACACCTGCAAGAACTCAACCGCACTTAGAATTTTATTTTATTTTTTATAAAAAAAACTGTACCGTTGATTTTATTCATCATATCCTAGATATTTTTGCCAACACACCAAAACCAAATTTCATGATACAAAAAGAAATGTTATAGAGAACATTGTTTTTGATTTTTTTTTTTTTGCTCTGTGAACATTGTAGGACATTAAATCTACTTCATCATGAGGGAAATTGAATCTATTAATTATTTTTGAAATTGAAATCAATCTTATATTATATTGAATCTGGAAATTAAAAAAAATCCAATCCGCAAATCACCCACGACCACCCCGCACATTCGTGAACTCTATTCACACAAACCGCAACTCGCACTGCGGGCGGTTGCGGGTTGAATTTTTCCCAAACTGCATACATGCAGGCGAGTTTAAACCAATCCGCAAACCATCCAAAACCAAACCATGAACACCCCTACCTTAATGTAGTAATTTTCTTGTCCCAACAATGTCGAAGAGAATGTGATGCCTTTGATAATTGAAGTGGGTTCAAATTCATGTATGACTAAGTTAGTTGTCTATGTGGTTGTATAAGCACGAAATAATCGTCACTTATATAATTCTGTCGATCAAATTGCACTCCTTCAAACGTCATCGTGAGACGTGAAATCACAAACATGAACTAGCCGGCAGATGTGTGCTAGAAACCCCTCCAGTGCCTAAGCAAATAGGACCAACAAGGATTAAAAAGCTCTGTAAATTCAGGAATATTAATTGCAATACTAGGAATTGTGTTTGGTTTGAGCTATTATAAGTTTCGCCTAGCAAAATCCTAGTAGTACTCAAACTATCCTTTGTAGAGTTCTCATAAAAATCACATTCCTAAATGATAAAACTCATCTTCTAACACTCTTTTTACTGCAAACCAAGTGAAATGACATAGCTCTTTGCACGGCTTCCAACCAAGCAATCGAACTGTCACGCCCCAAGCTTTGTGACAACGCCGTACACTCATTTAAGTTAGCATGCAAGGCTAAGAGTCCAACACATAACCAACAACGTAAAATACTCAAATTAAATCCTTAAATATCATAATGTTAAAATCCATAAAAATAGATAATTCTTATCATATGAAATTGTCCACCAAGTCCACTAATATAATCCACTAACCAACATAATAAACCAAATACTTAAATCATAGTCCTACTCTCAGCACTCCCCGCGAGTAAAAACCCCGCGCAACTCTATTCCTCAAAATCTAAAAATAAATAAATAAAATAAGGGTAAGCTAGACAGCCCAGTAAATAACCAACCATCACTGCTAGCTGGATCAAGTATACAAAAAAATAAATAGTTGATAACCAATAAATATAATTTTTGCTACAATTCAATAAATGAACAATTATTTGTAAGATGGTTTCATAGCTAAAAATAAACAATGTACAATACATTTTAATTGAAAAGACAACAAGATAATTCAAAGTAAATTCGTCGTTCAAATCGATGGTTCAATATTCAGATGGTTCAATGATTTGATTCACAAAACCCAAGTCTTGGTGACTATGGTCACTTAGCCCGTGACAAGGCCCAGAACCACACATAAGCCGGTGGTAAAGCCCCAATAGAAACTAGTTTCTGTGCCAATAAATAACCCCCATTGGCTAGGGTCCAAATCATAGTCAGACTAGAGTGATGTTCAAATATTCAAACAATACACAACTTTAAAATAAAATATTCGATATTTTCAGAATAAACATTTGGTACAATTTTCAGAATAGTTTCACAAAATATTCAAATAACTTTCATAATAATATTCGATGTTGTTTTATACTTGACCCATATTTTATAATTTTAATCGATTCAATAGGAATAAAAATGAACCAACAGTGATAGAACGTTACTTACTCCAAACGCTTAGAAATAATATTCCAACACCAACTCCAAACACCCAGCTCCACCACTTCAATCACACAAACCTAATAAACAAAACCTCAAATAAATTAATATTTTTACTTGTTACATACACCCACAAAAGCCCCACCATATTAGATTAATGTATTACTTTAATATCCAAGTGATTAAACCATTCAACCCAACTTTATAGCCAAACACACCCTTACCCATGATACAAAACTCCATTGTTTCTATTACCCACCCAAAGTTACACTTACACATTGCACCCAATTCTCAAAACCTAAGTAGGCACCTATAGATCTTCCAAATCCCCTTAATGCATTGATTGTTAAATTCCTCAACATAAACTTAATAAATAATAATCATATGTGTTGGACTTTTCAAGGAATTAAATGTCTTTTTTATTATTATATTATATTAAAGTTTAATATTTTGATAATAATCATATGTGTTGGACTTTTCAAGGAATTAAATGTCTTTTTTATTATTATATTATATTAAAGTTTAATATTTTGATAATAATCATATGTGTTGGACTTTTCAAGGAATTAAATGTCTTTTTTATTATTATATTATATTAAAGTTTAATATTTTGATAATAATCATATGTGTTGGACTTTTCAAGGAATTAAATGTCTTTTTTATTATTATATTATATTAAAGTTTAATATTTTGATAATAATCATATGTGTTGGACTTTTCAAGGAATTAAATGTCTTTTTTATTATTATATTATATTAAAGTTTAATATTTTGATAATAATCATATGTGTTGGACTTTTCAAGGAATTAAATGTCTTTTTTATTATTATATTATATTAAAGTTTAATATTTTGATAATAATCATATGTGTTGGACTTTTCAAGAAATTTTTTTATGCTTGTTGTCAATGCATTAAAGTGTTATTATGAGGGATAATAATCATATGTGTTGGGACTTTTCAAGGAATTCATATGTGTTGGATTTCAAAGAAGTTTTTTATGTTTGTTCTTAATGCATTAAAGTGTTATTATGAGAGTAAGACTTGGGAGTTAGGAGAAGTTAATAAATGTTAAGATTTTTTTTTTAAAATCAAAAAATCAGAAAATTTGGATTGGAAAATTGAAGCTCCCACAAAGCTTGGGGATAAAAATTCCCTTTTGCTTAATATATAGTATAGATATAATGCCACCCCATAACTAATTCTTTGATATTAATAAATGACCCGTATAAATTAATTTAATTACTTATCTATCCAATAGAATGATCTTACACACAACTTGGGTTTTACACGAACTACATTAACCTTGTCAACATTTGACTCAACTGTGCAACATACAACGCTGTGCAACTCTAGCACAGCGCACCACCAAGATAATGTTGTAGGGTTCTTCACTTAGCCCGGTCGAAGTGTTGAACCCAATCTCGTTTGACCCGTCTTCTTAGGTAAGTCCAATCTTGAACGCCACTGAAGAGTAGCTCGATCCAAGAATACTTGATCTAACGCGTTCAGTCAAACTTATTTGACTAGTTTGACATTCGTGCGTGTCACGACCCAAACCCGCCCTTATAGGTTTAGCATCGTAACCAGCCAGTAATCTTTGGATTACCGAAGGCATCTGAACAGATTAATAAGATTAAGGGGCTAGTGGAAGCTAATACATAAATATAATTGTCCAATGAGCTGTGTTGACTTATATGAAACAGAATATTTAAAAACTTTATATACATAATCAAAAGTCATTCATACATTATACCCACACACATAATAGTATCTTAAGTCCAGCCAATAGAATTAAATCAAATCATACATATACACAGAACCAACAGAACTTGAACACAGGACACTTCAGGAACCTCTACGTGAGGCACAATGGTTGGCTGACAACAGAACACAGATCCAGACAAAAGCCTTCAGGCTCGAGCTCCAGAATGCTCACCTATACATATATATACACACAATGAGCTAAAGCCCAATGAATAACATTAAGGTAAAGAGGTTAGTAAACGAAATCCGAATATATCATAAGCAGAAAACAGACCAGAGCATAATCATTCTTATATTAGAATATAATAGTGGTACATTCCATAGAACACATCACAGAACATCTTCCGACTAGAGTAATCGGTTCCGGATACCAATTAAACATATATCACCACAATGAAGTGGCTAACGAGATCTCGTTAACTTGTATGTCATAGACCCACATTTTCATGCGTCCCCCTTGACTTGGGACTATCTATGGATGCCATAATAGATTTCAAACTTGGGATGTTCGTTCACGAAAACAGATATCATTTCAGAAATCAGAACTTATCATATTTCATTTGGAACGTAATTCATATGAACGTATCTTTACAATAACGTTACTCACAATGGTTCCAGCAATGGTCAATCAACCCTCGAGTCTTAACCTACAATCACAAAATACATAACACAAGCATGTCTTATCATTACACATTCAAGTGGCCATTACGGCTTAGCTTTCATTACATTGGTTCTTATTCTTTCTTATCACATTGCCTAAAACACACACACTTGCAGTCTCGGAACTTAGTACATTCTTTTCCTAGTGTGTTTCTAATCCATAATCTCATTACTATAGCTTAATTAAGGCTTAGGAATGCCTAAGATGCAATGAGGATGCCAAAACATACCTTGGAACACTTAGTCAAATTTCTGAAAATAAGGTCTACGCTCGAG